GCCCAAGTTCCTGATGGGAAGCGTGGTCTCCTGAGACCCCGGCCGCAGGTGGGATCTGAGGACTCTGCTACTGGATCAGCTCCAGTTCCTTTCAGCCCAAGAGTCTCGCTCTTGCTTCTTCATGGATCATTGTGAGAAACTGGGGGTGACTGCTTGGAAGTGGCACGGATTGGCCCTGCTGGTTCTGGTGCTGCTGACAGACTCTCACCTCTGTGGTCTCAGAGGGGAGCGGTGAGGCAGGCAGATCTAAGCAGAGCACCCACTCTGGCCACTAGGTGGGACCCAGAATGACCTGGAAGTTGGGTGCCACCTTCAGAAGGGGCACAACTGCCCCCAGGGATGAGCTCAGATGAGGGGGAAGCAGACCCGAGCCCCTTCAGACTCACTGTGACCCTCCATGGCTAGGGGCCTCCGACCAGAGGCAAACCCCTGTTGGGCTGGCGGTGTGCCACCCAGGCAGTGCCAGGGTGAAGGCTATGGCCCCCATTAGACCATATTGCGAGGGACAGGATGAACGCAGGGAGAGTGGGACTCCAGGACTGGGAAGAGGGGTCAGCTGCAGTACAGGAGGCCGGAGAGACATTTGTCTCCAGGTCTTCCCAGTTACTTCTCAGGCCCGTTAGGTGACCGGCTTCTGGATCTCCATCCCCAGGCCTGGGACATTCTCATTGCCTCACAGCGCAAAGCAAGGGCTGCTACAGGACCGAGCCACCCATCCTGGCTGTGGATCCTGGATTCACAGCCCAGAAGGATGAAGAAGCAAATCCCTTGGCCAACTCATTTCAAATACACATTTTTAAAAATATTTACTGAAACAAAGTTGTGTGCAAAATGCTATGGGGATCTGCTATGATGAATTACATCTCCCCTCCCCTCTCTCTGCAAGGATATGAAGGTCCAGCAGGAGGGACCAACTAACAGGTCAACTCTAATCAAGGCTAAGTCAGATGCAGACCCTCTGGACTTTTACATATGCCTTTAAAAATATATACCTTTAAAAATAAATGCCTTTAAACAACCCTGATCATTAATATATTGGGGCCTCCAATAGGGACTAAAGTGTTTCTTTCATGAACTGGTTGACAAATGGTTCATGACATGCCGCCCCTAGGCCATCAAAGTCCAGTTTCAGTTATGTCCTTCAAGCCATGTTCATGGAAATTTTTGAACAGCCTATCGCAGTTTGCTCCTGTTGTTATATAAAAAGGAATAGGAAACAGAATGAAAGCATTGTATGCTTGTGATAAGAAATTTCAAGTGGGTGCATTAAATAGAGAGGAGGCAGAGTTGAAAATCAATGGAGATAAGGGAGGCTTTCATCCATTCATGCGTGCACTCAGCAAATATCAGTTGAGCACCTACTGTGTATACTTTTTCAGTCATGGATGGAGACCCCTGCTCCCAGGGAGCTGACAGTCTGGAGGCAGGACGAGCTGCATACGTCAAGTATAGAGGGCACACATGTGGAGGGCCAGAGGTGAGCAGCAGAGCAGGAATGGGGGAAACAAGTAGAATAGGAGGATGATGTACTTTCAGGAGGGGTGGCTAGGGGAGGGCTCACGCAGGAGAAGGTGACTTTTGAGTAGGCGAGAAATGATGTGCTCAGATTCCCGGGAGGCAGAGAACTCTGGGCACAGACAGGGACACCTGCAAAGGCCCCCGGCTGGTGCCGACTGTGTGGAGCAGTTTATCCTCCTCTCAGTTCTGGGTTGGTCCAAGGAGACAGAGGGGCTTGAGTAGAAGCTGGTTGGGCAGAAAGCCTGGAAAACGGGCTCCTCCTGAAAAGCGATGGATGAAGTTAACTTGGAGATGAGCCAGCGCCCAGGTGCCCAGATGCCCAATTTGTGAAGGTTGGACACCAAATGCAGTTTGTTGAGCAATGAATCTCTACTGAACATGATTTCCCTCTCTGGTGTTCTTGCTCTCTCTCTACACCAGTGCCTCGAGTGATGCTTGTGCGCAAAGCGATTGCTCAGTAAAGGTTTGTTGAATGGCTGTTTCAGAAACACGAGTGTCAGTGTGGCAGTTGTCAGTGAGTGTTCTAGGCATTAGAACAGTGCCTGCGTGCCTGGGGAGAGGCATTGAGGGACCCCAAGCACCGGACAATAGGATGGTGTCCCTGGCACCTTGCAGATTCAACCAGCAAATGAGTATTTTCAGACACTTCGAAAATAAGGATTCAATCCTGTATCTCCTGAGCTTGTGAGGACCAGGCACCTCAGTTCCCAAGCCTTCCAGGCAAATGGCTCTTCCTTCTCATCAGCATGTTGGAGAAGGAACTTGCTTCCCTTTGCTGCCCAAAGTGACTTTGCTTTCAAGTTCAGGCCAAAAAAGCAGTGTGGTTGTTCTTCAAGCTGATCTGTGCAGAATAACCACAAATGCCAGCCCTGGTGATGGTTTCTAATTGAATGTGACTTTCTTTGTTAACGCCTGTCCTTGCCCCCAGCAGCAAACTGACAACCAGGACTTGCCTTTGTGAGCTGAAATGATGCAGCTGATAACCAACAGCTTGTATTAATTTTCCCTGATAACCTCACAGTACTTTTAATGAGCTCGGTGGCACATGTGCCGTTTCTGGGGCAAATTAATTTGTCCTTGCAAAACAGAGTGTCAGCGATTTTTATTTCCTTTGTGTCTGACGTGTAACGGGTGGTGTTTTCCATGGCAAGTGATACAGCCTTGCATTTCGGCTGCACTGCAGGAAGGACAAGATTTTGCCAAGAGCAATAAAATCAGCACAACCACAATTAGACGTTGGATGATCAATGCCGGAAAAATGATCTGCTGATGTTTCTCCCTTCATTCTATGTGTTGAAATGGGCTGTGACTTAGCAAAGGACCAGAGAGATGAACAAGGCAGCCGGCCAGCCAGCCATGGCCTTCAGGTAGCCTGGCCACGAGAAGCAAAGGGGCTGTGAAATATGACCCTCTGTCCTCTGTGAGCTCCCACACTTGCATTATCTGCCCAGGCACCATGTGGCTATCTGCACTAATGCCATCTTGTGTTGCCAAAGCCATGGAAGTGAAAACTTGAACACCAGTTGGACATACAGAGCCTGCCTCTTCCATTCTCTCATTTCCAAGATATTTGCCCCTCCCCATCAAAAAGAATCAAGTCAGATTCTGTATCATATTTGGGAGGGTTTGGACCACAGTTTTGGTCATTGTGGCAGTTCCCATATCCTTTGCTGGACATTTTTTCAAACCTAGCTCCTCTAATGAAAGCTCAGGATGAACATTTGAATGGGGAAGTTCTTGGAGTAGCACTGAGAATTAACATCTCTTTCTCAAGCCCCATGGAAAGGAATTTGAGGGCTGAATTCACTACTGCAGTCTTAACATTTTCACACTTCTGGAATTTTAACCGGAGAATTTTCTGCTGGTAAGAGTCCCATTACAGAAGAGAAATCTAATATCTTCTCTGGTGAGCAGTGGGGGGTCCTGGAGACTATGAAAGGCTTGCGGGGCAGAGCGGGGTCTTTCCACTGACACAAATCTAAAGAGCAGGGGGAAATTCCCCTGTGTGTTAGGGTTGACCCCTGGTGGGGCTGGCTGTGTTTCGGACCACACCTGCTAAAAAGCAGCAAAGAATGGTGATATTAGGGCCCTGAAATACTATGTAAAAGGGGGCTGGGGACCGGCTCTTTGTCCTTCTAACATGATTGGAAACTTGGGATGGGCCAGTGGGGACAGCTGTGTCCGGAAAGTGTCCCTCCCCTGAGCTAAGCCTTCAGTTTTTTTCCGAACTGGGTGTTCAGAATAAAGCAAATCATAAGCAGATAAGCAAATAAATCATACAGGTCAATTATTATAGGGCAGAGTAGCTTAGACTCCACTAGAATTAAATGTAAGCTGGGTATGAATTAGATGCTTTTGATATAGACACAATTGAGCTAAATAGTGCCTTGTGCCCCCAGGTGGGCATGACTCTTTCCTGAGTCATGCAGCCTGTGTGTCCCACACTGGCATTCCAATGAGCTTGATTCAGTCATCAGTAACACTGGCTCTGAAAAAAATTTTCCAGTTCAAAAATGATGTTCAAGTTCAATGACAGCTTTTTGGGTCATGAGTCTTACCCAGGAGCTACAGGTAAAGTGCTCTGGGGAAACATAGGTCCTCTCAGATAGAGTCCACAGGCCGTGTGGGTGTGTGATTAGGTTAGTCCTCTTATCTGGGCAGGAGAATAGACAAATGTGAACATATTTCAGAATAGCCTAGCAGCTGTGTCTCAAGCCCGCCAGAATTCAGCCAGAAGCTGTGCTGGCTCATGTGAACCCCCTGGCCTGACCCTTCCCTCAGGCAGTGCATTTTTTGCTTTAATGGGGACCTGCCAGGATCACCAATATTAGCATTTACAGCTTGAAATCAAAAGTAATTTGTGGTGCTATAAACAGGACAGCAGATAATTTTAGTTTTTACCTAAGACTGTCAGGTTACTTCACAATTTCACTTGTCTTCATAGCCAAGAGAAGGATAAATAAACTGCTTCCGCCGCTTAGTGGCTTGGTCCTATCTGAAGTCGGTTCCCAGCAGGAGAAACTGTGCTTTGCCACATCTGCCTAAACCGGTCTCTGTTGCCATCCAGTTCTGGCTCAGGATGCTGCACTGGAGAGGTAGCAGCTACACGGCAAATGCCAGGTTCCTTAATACTAGAGGAAGCTTGAACTTCTCTCTGGTGTACATGGAGTCACATCTGTGACCTAAGAGACACTGCTTTGAAATAACAACAATGTTCAAGAAGCAATGATTAAAGTTTGCTATTGCATCCGAACAGCGTCACTTAACCTTCCCATGATGTCTTCATTCAGTGGTTCTGCTGAGCTCTTCATTGGAATTTCCCCAGTTTCATCCAAGCAAATCATATATGTTCACAAGCACATCGATATAAATGTATTTCATATAATAAACAGTGATAAATACATAAACACATACAAATATAATGAATATAGCTAACAAGTATAACTATTTTATATAAATATATTTATTGCAAATGGAGATGTATAACATAAATATCAGTAAAGTGTTGTTGAATGAGTGAATGAATCTTTCTTTAAAACAGTCTGAGTATCTTAGTCATCACGATTCATTTACTACATATAAACATTCTTTCTCTGAGTTTATAATGAATACTTACGGCAAATTGATTTTTTTTTTTTTGCCCTTACAAAATGGAAACCACGGTTTCTGATATTCCAACTCTCCTCAAGTTAAAATAGAACAATGTTAAAATTTTAGGATTTATAATGTTTTTTCCACCCAGGAAATAGTACTTTTTAAATTCTTTGTTTCTCATTTAAAAACAAAAATGTGACAAATGCTACCAAGTAAACATTAAAATTGTATACAAACATCAAATTAATATTTAATACAATAATGTTGCTAAAAATCAGTTCCAGATGGGTGGCAGACTTTAATGTGAAAGTAGAAAAAATTAAACAAAAAGATCTAAAAGAAGAAAACATTGGAGAATATCTTCATGGGCTTGGCAAAGCAGATTTCTTAATGAGGATTCCAAAAGCACCATAAAAGAAAACATTGAATAAAATAACGTCATTGATGTAACGTTGGGTACAGAAATTAGTCTCCCCACCTGTGTGAGAAAGGTTATGAGAATCAGAAAGAATCAGGGGTGGGGTGGGGTGAGACAGTTCCCTTATCTTGCAACAACAGGCTTCAAAGGAGAGAGTTAATTTGCAAACAAGTAAAAAAAAAACTCTTCTGAGAGCAGACAGACTTGTGGGCAGCAGCACATTCCACTGCCATGGGGAAGGGGAGCTTGTAATGTGCTGGCCCTTTATATACCGTATCTCATTCCATCCCGGTTATACCCAAGGATGCAGATAGGAGGCTGAGCAAGGTCAGATGGCTAGCCGAAGGTCAGGCAGCTCTTAAATGGTAACTGGGGAATTTGAGCCCATGTTGGTCCGACAGGGCACCGTGGTGTTTCTCCCTGGATACAGCCCAGCAATTCCCACTTCCCAAGTGATTCCACGGTCCCAACCTCAACCACAGCCCAGGTGATTCTACGAGCAGGCATCTGCTCCTTTCCTGCCTTTTTCTGGCAAGGGCTCCTGCTTGGCCACACGCTCTGCTTTGTGGCACTGAGAGTATGGATTAACTGTTTGGTAGAGGAGTCACAATGTAATTGACATTCTATACAAAGCAGATATTCAAAGAAATGGCACTGTTAACTTTCCTTACTTATTAATTATATTTTCATTGGAAGTCTTTTCAGTTTAAAGATTATACGATACAATCGGGGGGCAGAGAACAAAGCCAATAGCCCCTCCGTCTAAGTTCCAAGGTAATTCAAGGTGGCAAGTGAACCGTGAGTGATTAAAGGCGGGTGTCTTGGGACCTGCTGGACTCAATGTCCTTGAGTCCTCCCCTCCATAGTGTCTGGTACACTTCATGTTGCTGGCACTCAACAGCTGTCAGGTTTATGAAGAACAAGACAATCACACTCTTTTTGGGGTCTCAGGCTATGAGGACTCAAGTGCCAGATAGGGTGTTAACATCAGTTAAGAACCCTGATATCCATCTGCTGAGGTTAGTCGTGTCAAGTCTGGGTTGTCATATATGCCTGGATATCAGAATATATTTTCGATGTTTGCTTTTAAAAGTTACTCCTGTGACTGAGACTCAAAAAGAAACTTCAAGAATTAATGTTCGGTTCCAGACTGAATGTATTACCCATGTGATGTAAGGTATGAATAAAAAATAAAAACCTGTAGCACAGGCTTTGAGTAGGTTGCTCATGTGTGTGATCACGTGTGCATGTTTAACCCCTGACCGTCTCAGCGATATGAGAGAGTTCTGCTGATGTCAGTTTCTCCGCACGTCCCAAGTCTCAGATCAGAAGCGAAGCTGTGCCTCTATAGCCATAATCCTTTACTCCCTGAATTTCTCTAGACCCTTGCTGCTCAAGGTGCAGTCCTTGAACCAGTGGTAACGGCATCGCCAGGGAGCTTGGAGGCCATGCGGCATGCCAGGCATCACGCCAGACCTACGGAATCAGAATCTGCTTTTTGCCATGGTCCTCAGGGGATGTGAATATCCATGTTCAGGAAGCTCAGCAATGCTGATGTAGACCCTGGGTGCAGACAAAACTCTCTTCTCCTACTCTCTTGGCTGCACATTCATATCCTTGCTTTGGTGATTCTGCAATTAAACATGGTGAGGGGCTGAATGTTTTAATATTCCTCAGATTTGCTTGGCATCATATCTATGGTCTGGGATTCCTTAGTCGATTAAATGTCTTCCTCACCACATTGTTCCTCAAGTTCTCTGGAGAGGACTGCAGACAGAATGGGGCTCTGCAGCCAGTGGAGCCATGTGGGGCTGAGCCTGCAGGCTGTCAGGGACGTCTCTGTGACAAGGAGTCCCTGTTGGTCTGTCATCAGGCCTAGATCTTGTAGCAGAATGTTTGGAACTGAGCCACAGCTCTGCCTTTAATCCCAGTCATTGCCTACACTCAACCATTTTGTTTGTTTGATAGATAAAAAATATTTAAAAATCCTATCATGCCATTCTGACTTTTTACAGCAATGACTAATGGATTTGAAGGTGCTGCAGTTTTTAGGATTGATTTTTCCTTCTCGGATTTATCCCACTTGATTCCCTTGGGTATTCATACAATTTACCCTTTACTGCTTTAGTGTAACTTTGCTGCAAGTATCGTTTTCAGATTCTCTTTTCCTCTGTGCCTCTTCCCTCCCAGCAGCCTCCAATTTCTGGCTACTCAGCCAGGCCCCATTCCACCCTCTCCCAGCCTCAGCTCCAAGGCCCCAGCCTGCTGAGGCCTGAGCTCTGCACTGGGCCCTCAGTGTCCTCTTCTAAGGAAAATCCTGGGAACCTTGACTTCTTTGTTCACCAACAAGAAATGTTCCCCTTGTAACTCAAATCCATACTTGGCTATTTTTAATGACTCTATTTTGGAAACATCACTCATGCTACTGGGCCCCTAAGAAAAAGCCTCTTGGGGGTACAACCACGTATCAGATCAGATTGTGGGTTGGGAAGCCCAGCAATGGTTGCAAAGAAACCCTCCCTGGACTTGTTACCCTGAAGTCAGGGGACAAGGGAGAGGCTTTCAGGGACTCCAAGAGCTGGGGCCTCCCTGTCTTCTGTGCCAATCAGCATACACATTCATGACGCCATGTGTCCTCAAGCTGTATGGAAATTAGCTTTTTGTAAGCAGAATAATAGTTTAATTACACTGGGGGAGGGCTATCCTGCAGCAAATCCTCGGTACATGGAGGAACCCATCTGTGATGCAGATGGCCTGAACTTAAAAAAAGCCTATGTTGGTATCTCCGAGTTTCTTAAAACAGTGCACATACCACACATATGTATAAATACATTTGCAGACACAAAGCTATATCGGATAGAGTAATGCCAGCAGCTATACAAATAAACCCCAGCACGCCAATGGCTTAATGCTCCGGGGATGATTCAGCCACATCACTGCTAGTTGTCAGGCCCTCTCCTTTCCCTAGAGATTCAGACACCCTGGCTCCTTCCATCTCATGGTGCCATCCTCCCGGGCCTTGGTGGTCTCTGCACCCACTTAGCAGAAGAGAGAGGAGAAACCCCAAAAAGCTTGGCCTGGATGAGACCCATGCCGCTTCCTGTCACCTCCCATCAAACTGGACCATGGCCACTGCAGGCCACAGTTGGCAAAACTCTAGAGTATGAAGAAGGTGCTGCATTTGGGGTGACAAAATACCTTCTCCACTACACTTTGATGTGTTTATACAGGAGTTTAATGGGCAAACTTCTCCTCAGACGTCTCACACCCCCATGTGGAAGTTTGAGTGACTGGTGGTATCTTTAGTTTATGGGGAGTGCACTGAGGCCCTGGGGACCATTATTTGCATATTGGCAGATTTGGGAGGAGAAACAAAGATCCCAGGGACTTCCTGTGCTTTGCCAAGCCTCTTTGTTCATTACTATGGTACCGATTTTCATTTGAGAACAAAAAGCAGGTGAGAGGGAAGTTAATCGCACAGCAGCAGCTTTTGGGCCTATTGTCTAAGGACATGACTCAGGGCTGCCTTGGCCAGCGGCCGGCCAGAGCTCCATGGGCCTCAGCCTGGGCCCCCACTACCGGGTTTGTCTCCAGCCCGTTCCATGCAGAGCGATCACAAAGCCTTCGCAGACTGGCTCAAGGCTTCCCACCTTTTATACCTCCCTGGATTGCCTAGTTTTGCTGTTCTCTGAAAATAGTTTGCTTTGTTCTGTTACCTAAAACACATGTTTTTGTGAAATTGCAAGTAATCCAGGAACCCCAAAACTCAGCTCTTCCCTCACTGGTTCTGAGGGCAAACATCATGTTAAAGGCTGGGAGGGATCCAACCTTTTGACCGGAGGCCCAGGCCCTGGAAGGAAGAACCTAGTGGTAGAGTCCAAGGGACTTAAGTCTTCACCAGTGCTGCTGCCCAATAGCATCTGGCCTTGGGCAAGAATTGTAGTTTCTTAGGCCTCAGTTGCCTTACCTATAAAAGGGGACAAAATCACCCAGTTACCATGTTGGCAGGAGATATGAAGTGGGGAGCCGCCCATGTGTGTTCAGTACTAAGTGGTGGGTGGGAGATGATTTCCACGGAGTCCGTTGGTCCCCCTCTACCCCCACTCAGTGAAAGAGCCAGCCTCAGCCCCTCCTCCCTGCTTTGACACTGCACAGGGGCTCCTCCAGTCCAAATCCTAGACTTGCATCTTTAAGTAACCCCAGCTCAGACCCATGTCTGTGTACCTGTGGGGCCTCTGCTCTTCAGGGTCACTGGCCCTGCCAAGACACATGCTAAGCAGAGACCTTCTCCTCCCCTTTACTGTACGGAGAGTGAATTGAGCCCTGGGGCATCTCCGCCTGCCTCCCACATTCCTATTTCATCTCTTTGTTTCTCAGGCACCTGGGCTGGGACCTCCACATGGCCTTTCCCTCTTCTCTCTCCTGTCAGTTGCCCCCACCAGCTGTTGCTCCTGCCTTGAGAATCCTCCAGAGCTCCAGTTCACCTGCCACATCGAGGCCAGGTGTGTCTTCTTTCAACTCTCCTCCCTCAGCAGCCTGCAGAGGCCCTCTGCTTCTCCATAGGTAAGAGGCCTGCTCATGGCCACCCAGCATGACGGTCCTGAGTCTGGAGTGAATCCTTGATCCGGTGGGCACAGAGCTGTAGGTCTAACTTCACCTGGTTTCTCTCTCTCCCTCTCCCTCCCCAGTTGAAATCATTCCAGTTCAGCCTGACTGAACTAAACTTTAGCCAAGGACAGCTGCTGACATTCACAAGGACCCAGTTCTGTGTTCCCCTCCCTGCTCTCTGGACTTGACCTCCTTCACTCCAGGATGCTCCTTGCCTAGAATGCATTCCTCACTCCACATTCTCCTACTTTTTATTTTTGCCCCCCCAGGCCCCTCTCATTTATAAAATCTCTCACCCACTGGGTGTTTTCAGTGGGCCAGTAGGGTGGTAGGCTGGAGGGAGGCACAGAGAAGACCAAGGACAATTGAGCAAGGTTTAAAAAGGAATGTTACAATGATCAAACTTTTAAAAACCTAGTTTCCTGAAGCTTTAGAGCTCAACTTATAAATTA